ATATTATTAAATATTACTTTGTTCACATTTTTAGAGAAGTCTGCTGCAACATATTTTTGCTGTTGGCTACGCCCATGACTACGAATTTAGTTACTGAAAAATAATCAACAGACTTGGGTAATTATCATATTTTTTATTAAAACGAAAGTAAAGTACACGTTCTTAATAGCTTTTTTCGAAAGAGCTCATATATCTACGTGATGTCCCTTACTATGATATATCGATAGTACCACAATATATTGGCTAAACATTTGTATATCCAACGTCAAGTGGGCGTGTCTGGGAATTCAGAATCTTGTTAACATTATGTAGGTTGATGAATTTTACAAGTTCAAAATTAAGTTTTGTTGCATTTTTTTACTTTGGCGAGTACATAGTGAAAATAATTAATTCGCTTCTTTACAATTTTTTAGATAAAAGTATTAGTATATATCACGCTATTGCTAAAAAATCAGCGGACTTAATAATAAGTAAGACTTCTTAACAAGTATATGTTTTAATGATTTTAAAACAGCAAACGTTTGTTGTATATATATATCTATTTAGGATAATTTTATCTCTATATACTATACATATGTATCATAAATTATTGGAGACAAGCCCTCTTTAAAATTTTATTAAATATAAAAACTTGCTACAAATACTATTAAAATCAATTAATTAACCTTTCAGCATTATTGCTACTATTATTATTAATATTATTGTTATTGTTATTATTATTGTTATTGTAAAATGCGGAATTTCTGTTTGTTATGTAGGTATTTACCCATCAATTCTCATTTTTCCAGTGTTCGCTCATAGTAAAATCACCACAGTTTCGCATATATTGTATGTAAATTGCAATCTACGCAATTGAATTGTTTACTAGTTTAACGAAAACTTTTGTTATTGTCATGATATTTGCAAAAATTTATTTATCTGCGTCAAAATAGTATCTCATATGTATATGTATTGAGATGATATAGTATAGTATCATTTGAAGAACCTTGATGGATAGTATAATTTAAGCAAATACATTATCAGAAGTTGTTTTTCTCTTTAATAATATATTTACATATATGTTAACTTAATATTATTTATTAACTACAGGGGCAGTTTTTTGTTTTTCATATTTGTTTTTCATATTAATAATTTGTTTACAGTCAATAAAGTTGTAACAAAAAAAAACAACAAATTAATTATAGGTAAAGGCAGGCCACTTGGTAAGATAAACAACAAATCGATTTTGGAATGCAGTAAACAGCATTTCAGTTAAGAACAACGAGAAAAACAAAATTATTATCTTTAATTATGTAAATTATAAAAAGTGAAAGTATTTTTTGTTATAAATTATTATAAATTTCAAGTTTATATATAAATCATTACATTAGTTGAATTAAAGCCATTCTTCTGTTCAAGCTAGTCGAAGCAACTAGCAACTTAACAACTCAACTAGTGAAATTTCTTAATCGCAAATACTCGCACGAAAATTTACACTCAATCTTTACAGTTGGGAAATTTTCTACACTCAATTCTTGTAAAAATGGAGAGTTTTCTAGAACACTCGTATTGTGTGCTCTCCACACTTGAGATTTCAAGTGTACCCTTAAGGGATTTTTTTAGTTTGGAAAATACGACTAATTTGATAAGAAAATTTTTATGAAAAAACCAACAACATAGCAGCAGAAAATCTTGAAGATGATCACAGGCAAGACATTTGTTGCATCAGACAAAATAGAAATCGTAATTTTGCGTATGACATTGAACTAGCCGAAAATTTTGAAGCGTAACAAATTAGTGAATATGTGGGAAAAACACAATAGAACCTTCAGTTAAAAAATAAATAAAAAAATGGAAATTCTAAGAACCTTAATAAGAGAGGATGTGAAAGTATTTTAAACTTTTGCGTCACCTCATAAAATTTACTTTCACTGCGTTGTTTTTTTTTTCATAATATATAAATACATATATAAATATGTATTTATCTACAAATTTTTACAAAATTATCTGTAAGATATAAATTATTTTTATTGCGCATTGCTGTATCTCTTTTATTGTTTTTTAAGTTATTTTTTTATATATCTGAATATTCACAAAATGTCCCTATTATTTATTTTATTATACATCATTTTTTACTATTAAAGCATTTTTTCTCTCTAACAAAGATAACATTTTCTTGCCAAAAAATTAATTCAATATTTGTATATATTTATATATTTTTTAAGAAAAAAATTAAACACATGCAAAAGAATGGCATTCGCCTCTTGAAATAAGAATTTTTTTTTATTTGAGAAAATTTTTTTTATGAAAATACGTCAGAGAAATTTAAAATACTTTGCTTTCATTTTTTATTTTTTCTTGATTACAAATAAAATTGTTTTTTAAACTTTTAGCTATATGATTATATACACCATAAATAATGGTGTTATGAATATACAAATATTGAATGAATTTGATTATAGTATCACGATTGATTCACGATTATTCAATTACGTTTATTCTAATAATTATATATTATTATGAGTCTTTTCATACTATGTTAGTTACTAGTGGTAGCCCATTTCACAGAAGACTCAGTTATGTCCTATCAAGTTAGTGCATTAACGTAGACCCACCACACAATCCAAACTCAAGATGGGCAGATATGCTAAGATCGCATATTACACAAGACATCAACTATCCATGACTATGATAATGATATTGACATTCCAAAATTTCTAATAATTATATATTGTTATGAGTATTTTCATCCTAGTTACTAGTGGTAGCCCATTTCACAGGAAACTCAGTTATGTTCTAATAAATTAATGCATTGACATAGACCCATCACATAGTCAGTTTATCGAACGAAGCCTAGTTGAAACTCAAGATGTTTGCATATAACACAAGAGATCAACTATCAATGACTATGATAATGATATCTGGTTAGTTGGTTGGTTGCAGTGGCAGGTCATAAGATAACTTCAAATGTACCTCAATTAGCGATTTTTCGCCGTTTTGTTACCACATTCCTCGCAAGAACCCTAGTATAGAAGAGTAGAGACTAAATCCATCCCACCGAATTTAGGTAACAGGTCTTTCATCCTTACCATAATTATAATGATATCTAATCATTGACATTTTTAAACTGGATATCACTATCAGGTTATATCTAAAAATGCTGTCGCCATAGACTTACGACATAGCTCGTTTATCATAGAAATTAAAGTGAAAATTAGACAGTTATGCTAAGTTTGTATATTAGAGATCAATTATCCAAATCAGCATATTGCATTTAAATTGATAATTCTCCTGATCATCTACCCCTAGGCATATGTTGTTTCACATTGAACTTGTACTTTATTTTAAAGTACTTTTATATATGTTCGCCACACATCTAATGACCACACATGATCATATTGAGGATGTCTTTTTAACAGGCACTACTTTTTTTATTACTTTAGTATGAAGGCGTAACATAAAGGACTTTTCCATGTGCTTTATGTGTATTTATATTTATATAATGTACATATTATATAATATATTTTATATAATGTATAATATATTTTAATATAAGCTCCTTTTATTATATATAAAATATCTATAATATTTAATTATATGAAAAAGATATAGTAGTAAACTGCAAACTTTTGTTAACTCTTACAAAATTCGGAAAGAGGTTACAATTTTTAACAAACTATAATACATTTTTTTATGTATTGATCCCAATCAAGGTACTGGGTTTCTAGACACAAAGTCTACTGGATTGCATGGATTGACACCCAATTAAGGTACTGCATTTTGAGGCACAAAGTAAATATACAATGGTACAATTTCTAGTTTAATGGATGCGATAAAAAAATACCAAGCAGAAATACTGGCAATCGTAAGATTGCCAAAAGGCATCATCTAATGTAACTTGAGAGACTAGTGTTGCTATAGAATTTTAAAAATACTTGTTTTAAAATAATGAATTCATTTACATCTAAATCTTATTAAATTCTTTAAAATCTAATTATTATAATTGATACCTGACAAATATAAGTTGTTATATATACGATAAGTAAAATAAGTATATAAAATCAATTTATTCTTCATAAGATAAACGTGAAGTAGCAACACCCGTTTAATAATATTGAACTTGATAGTGAAATTTCAAGTTTCTTCAAATATATATACAGATGTATATATCTAAGTATTTAAGCCCATAAAAATCTCGGTACTTAATTATTTATGTATATTTTTACTGATACTTTAAAATATAATTACAACAATAAAATATCAAACAAACGAGATAGTGAAGAAAATTCTCCTAAAGACCTGCAGAGTAAGAGGAAGACCGGCTAAAATTTGTCTTCAAATGCATGATAAACACAGTGAGACGCAGAATACTCCACGACAAAAAGTTTGGTTTCAAATGTGAGTATAAAATTTTATTTGGTATAAAGTATCTTTTTTATATAAAGACAAAAATTCCTTTTAATACCATTTAAAAGTACCTCACTCTACTCCCGCTTCGGTCATTCCCCAGTTGAATCTGTTTAAAAAAAACTATAAGTGATTTTTTTTTATTTTTTTTATTTTATTTTAATAAATATATACATATTGACATGTACTCGCTACACTTGTCTTCGCTCATTTACTCAAACTTGCTCTTGGAGATTGTCAATTGCTCATATGAATTGTATCTACGCAAGCAACAAGATCACCGATTTTTTTGCTGCTGCTCCATTTACCTCCCTCCTCAGTCTTATCAGTCCTAACCGAGCGGCTAGCTGTCTGGCTTGCCTATAGATAGAACCCGCAACCGCAATTCATGTCAGTTAGTGGCAAGACTTCGTGCAGTTCAGACGTGTTTCTTCTTTAAATAAAGAGCAATAAAAATATCTAACGTGTTGTTTTTAAAGATAAAAGTGAAAATATTAAAGACTATTTATTATATATACAATATATATATATTTGTTTTATTGTTCAATATAAAAGTTTATTAAAATATTTTGTTATAAAAACGAGACTTATAAAAAATCGTGATTTTCTTTTTTGTTTAAAAAAAAATATTTGAAAAAGAACTGAAACATTATTGTGAAGGTTCTGGAACTTCCTTTTTTTGTGTAATCCAGCTAAAATAATATATATTTTTTTTAAAATGCGTACCCAAATGGCTATATGTGCTAAGGTGTGTAGATGTCAACAGTCAATAAATATTATTTAGATTAAAAAATCCAAAGTAAATAACAGAGAAATTCAATATGTATAAAAAAAATTAAAAAAATAGTAACAAAAAATTATTTATTTAAGAATAATTAATAATAAACTATCAAAATCTAAATTTAAGAACAAAATTTGATTAAATAAATAAATAATTCGACATAAATTAATTTTTAAATCAATTACAAACAACTAAATTTTATATAAAAAATATTAAATATATATAAAATAAATAATACACTCTAAAAAAATTACTAACTATGTAAATATCAGTAACGAAAATATTTCAAATAGATTAGAAATAATTCACTCACTACTACAAAACCATAAATAAAATGAATATTTAAATAAAAAAAATTATTTATTATTTTAATACCATAAAAATTTATAAAAATTAAATTAAAAACTTTCAATAAATTTAGTCAAACGATTTTTATATACAAAAATTGTTGTTAAAAATCAATTTTTTACATGATATTATATTATATATAGTAAATCTCATAAGTAATCACTATTTACGGTTTCATTATTTATTGTTCCGATTTTTAAAGAATTTTTTATGTCAAAATCTTTTCTGTTTATTTTTAAATTAAAAAGAGAAAAAAAAATTAAATAAATTCTATGGCTGATTTTTTTCCTTCAGTTTTTTAATAGATCTTTTTTTATTTAGTTTAGTGTGTGAGTATATTTTTTGTGTGCAGATATTTTTATATTCATACACTGTGTACCATAAATTAAATATTTATATATGTGAGATCTTTTTCGTTTTTATAAATATTTTTACTCGGTACATTTTTTGTTGGTTTGACTTCTTCGGTATTAAGAGAGTACACAGGAAAAAAGTAAATAAAATGAATTTTGAAGTTTAAGGCCGGCATCGTACACATAAACTTAAAAAGATAAAATTTGTTTTTATTTTGTTATTTAATAAACAAAATAAATTTTAAAATACACTTTTTTTTATCATTTTTTCTTATGAATAATGCAAATACGGTTTTATAACTCGTTTTCCTATTAGTTTCTTTTGAAATTTTTCAATATCTTGAGTTAGCAACTGCAAAATTTGCTTGAAAGTTGTATATTTTTTGTAATGATTAATGCATTTGATTTAACAATTTAACCTAATTAATTTAAATATATGGAATATTTTCAAAATTTTTTTTTATATGGTTTGTAATTTAATCAAACTTAAATATGAATAGTTTCTAAAGTCACTAAATGGTAATAATAATCATATATAGCTTATATACTATTACTTTTATCAGTTCTTTTATTTCAATATAGCTTGAATTTATATTAAAGTGAATTATGAATAATTTTAAAAGCTTCTTAGAGGTAATAATAGTCATATATATACACATATAGCTTACTTTTATCAGTTCCCAACTAATAAACTAAGCCGATTTTATAGTCTTAACTTAATTCTTAATAAAGACGCTTTTTTGGAAATTAATATTTAAACTATTTTTTTAAATTATTTTAAATTTAATTTAAATCAATATTGAGAGTACTTTCATAACAATAAAATCGAAACTAAATGTTATGTTGATGTTATTATGAAGCTTAGTGTTCTTTAATAAATTTGATTTTTAAAGTCAATTTTAATAAAAAGAACTATTTTCTTAGGCTTAATATTTTAGTACCAAAAATTTTCATTAAAATATATAGTTTGTATTTTTATAATTTTATACAATCTCCTAAGATTTCATAGCTCTCATTCAAACCTATCTAATTAACCATATTCGTTAACAGAAAATACCTAAATCGAAAATAAGGTTTATTAGTAGGCTAAAAAATAGACATAAAATTTTGAAAAATTAAATAGATCAAATCTATAGCCAGATTTGTAATCAATAGTTCTCATTTAAACCAATCAAATTAATCATATTCTTTAACAATTAATACCTAAATACAAAAAACGTGATTTTAAAAAATTATTAATTAATAATTAATCATTATTTTTTTAAAAGAATAGTATATGTCAGTCTAATAATTTCATTCAGATAGAATTCCATACAAATACCGTACCATATGGATTTCAGACCTGGTGTTTCAAGTGCCTACTTGAAATGTTTAATCTATAACATGGCTCTTGAGTTAAAAATAATAATAATAATACTAATAATAATAGAACCACAATTAAAAAGTATATATGAAATATTACAAAGATATTGCAAAAAATATAAGTTAGTAAAGAATAATTTTTAACAACTTATGTATAAATTTAAAACATATGCAATTATTAATAAACCAAAAAAATCTATTTCAATATAAAATTATTTTTTTACAATTTAGGCATAAACTTAAAATTTATACAATTATTAATAAACTATAAGAAATTAAATTTATATAAAATATATTAAATAGGACATATTAAATAACAAACAATTTATTTCAATCTAAAATTATTTTTAAACAATTTATTCATACTAAAAAGAAATAATATTATATTTTAATATAATAATATAAAAATAATATTTATTTTAAACATAATTTTTTTTAATATAATTAAAGCATTTCAAATATATCTGTTAACGATTTTTCACGCCATTGATAAAATGCATTTTTCACAAACATGTTCGGGTATTGCCCTTTTCCAAGAAGATATAAACCGATATATTATTTGCACATTTAACCAAACACTCTAATATAAATTAAGAAGATAAGATAGTCACTAAAAACTGACAGTTAATAACATCAAACAACTAAAATAAACACGAAATTATTTAACGCAAGACTGTTAAATTCCTAAATAAATAAAATTTAAATAAATTCATTCCTTTGCATGTGCCAGCAAATACTAGAAACGCAAAAACAAAGTTCATTCATAAAATACTAGTTTACTATGTGCAACACGTGCACTTAAAACTAATATAGCAAACTACACTAACAACGAACACAAAATATCAAAATACATACTTAACGCACAAGCAAGTAAGCGAATTTTCAACCCCTGAATTTCAACAGCAGCCACACCAAAAGCAAAAGCAGAAGCAAAGCAAAAGCAAATACAAAACCCAAACTCACTTGAACAATTCTACTTGTGCATGAAAAATTTTTTCTTGTGTGAAATTATAATTCTCATCGAGTTCAAAATTTCTGAGACTTATAACTCGTACATTGTGTAGAAGTCGTTAGCTTTGCGCAGAGGCGATATCGTAACCGATGAAGTTCTACTGAGGTGCGATTATTGCTAGTTGAAAACTTTAACCAATACCCCGCCATGGGGACGTGAAATACCGTCCACTACGGCAATTTTTGGAAACCCGAGAGGGTTGACTAATAATACATTCAAATATAGAAATTAAAATAAGTTATATGGTGGAAATATATTAAACATAATGAGAAAATTATGTGATTATATATAGCAATAGTCTGTGTATGCTTTAAATTAAATTTAATTTTTAAAACAGTGTTTTATAATATGCTTTAATTAATGTATTGTTATTTTTAATAATAACTTTTTTATTTTATAATAAGTATTTTATAGTAGTTTATTTTTTAAATTAATAAATAATTATTACTATTTTATTTATTTATTAATAAAAACTATTATTATTTTGTTTATTTATTAATAAATATTTTTATTATTTTATTTATTTATTAATAAATAATTATTCTTACTTATTTATTAATTAATTTATAATTTTTTTATTTTTCAATTAATTAATAAATTAAAATTATTGTTATAGGTAAATTATATTATGCGTGCTATCTATATTTCATTAAGAATATATTTAAATGAGAAATATACGACACAATCGTATGTTTGTTGAAATTTATATTATTAAAAGAGCCTATAATTAGAAGAAAATTAATAAGATTAAAAAAAAATTTGTATATAAACTCCAGATATAATACACATGCATAGGAGTAGCCAATGGGGTATTTTAAAGCGATACTCTACCAATAACTAAATCTAATAGGAGTAATTTTGTTATAATAAAAAGTGGATTGTGTAATTATATTCGCTATCTAAACGTGATAGATCGATGGCATAAATATAGCCATGTGGATATAAAAAATTCAGATATAGCAATTCTCCCTTGAAAGTATAAGTTTCATTATAGAAATATTTTATAATAAAATGAGTTATGGATGGATAATGGTGGACTTAAACTTATGGGATAATATAATAGTTCGATCGGATAGGTCTAGCTATGCATATTTGCACACAGTCTTGTAGAAAATTTAATTTTAATAAATGACTTTTTTTAAATAAATAATATAATAATAAATATCATATACCGTCATTAATTATATCGTTCAAAATAATTCTTGTTTATTTTTTATATCTCGTCAGTATTTATAAAAATCGTGTCTGTCCAATTTTTTCATTTTATTTCATACATAAATAATGTATATTTTTTATATAATGATATTATTTTATAAGTAATATATATTTTTTAAATACATGATATAAAATAATATATAAAAGAATCTTAAATTAAATTGCTAAGAATCAATATTTATAAATAATAGAAAGTTTTTTTTTGTTTTTTTTTTTATTTATTTTTTATTAATTATATATAAACAATTTTGTTTATTCTGTTTGCAAGAATAAGAAAAAACTTTTCTATTTAAAAGTTTTAATTCTTTTAATAATTTCATTTAAAATCTCTTAACAAAAAATTTTAATAAATGTATTCAAATAATATTATTTATTTTTCTTAAGGTCAATAACTACTTTATTTTGTTGAGATTTGATTTCATTTTTGATTAAATTTCATCAGCCGAAATATCTATTGATATTATTTATTACTTAATTTAAAAGACAAAATTCTATATAAAAAAAAAATTTCTATAATTTAATTCAAAACTAAACTAAACTAGTTTTGTCAAGGGAACACAAAAATTTTGAGAAACAGTTATTTTAATTAAATTCATATTGAAAAGAAAACGTAATAAAATTCTTTTTAAATTTAATTAAATTATTCATTACAAACATGTGCATATACATACATATATAAAAACCACAGAACTAAATTAGTTAATTTTTAAAATTGAATCATCAAAAAACAATGGCACTCGTTCGATTGATTTCGTCACAGTAGAGGTTATCATATTAAACTATGCCAAATCTTGTCTGCCACTGTTGCCATTTACATTTCTTAATTTAATTTTATTTTATACTTTTTATTTGAAAAAATTAAATATATATATATGAGTATTAGGGCTATAAACTTTAGCTAAAGTGAACTTAAGGGTTATCAGTGAATACACAACGAAATGGCAATAACTTTATAAGAAATTTACATACATTTTAATAGATTTACATACATACATATAATATTGTATTAGATTAGATTATTTTAATAATAAATTTAATTTTTAAAAATTGTTTAATAATATACAGTTTCGAAATGTTTTAATTTTGGGATGTGATTCCTTGTGGCATGAAAAAAAAATAATATGGACGGCGGATGAAACTATTTTTAATATTTACCTAAATAGAGTATGTGAAAGAGACTCTACCTAAAAATCATTTCTCTTAAATATTAGTATATTAAAAATAATTCATCCAAATATCTTAAGTCTTACACTAGTAAAGTTAGTTAAACCAGCCAGTCCATACAATATTCTATATTTTCATATATAATTCGGAACGGAAAGCATTTCCAACGTTTTGAGAGAAAATAAATATATACTAATATATCAGAAATAACTATTCAAGTTATCTACTGTAAAAAAATTTAATTTTTGTTTAAACAACCCAATATTTCGTTAATAATTAAAGGTATTTAATAGAAGACTTAATAAAAGTTGTCATAGTGCTATGTTAATTATATAGATAAAAGAAACAGTTGGTGGGAGACATTAGAAGCTTAGGAATGTTACCAAAAATAAAAAAGGAACGTTTACCTGACACATTGGTAATAAAGAAATATTGAAGTGAATATTTTACTATAGTTATTAGGCTTATAGAATTCATAGTCTAGAGTGTATATATTTGTTATAGGGTTGACAAAGTGAGTCTTTTGGATATTGTATTGATCGTTATATCAATTTATATTTTATTCAAGATTATAACATCAGTGTATTTCAAGTTAAAATATTTTAAAACTGTGAAGTACTTTAAATAATTTATTTTAATAAATGTTCGACATTTTACAAGTAGATTACACAAATATTCATAGGAATTTTTGCTATTTGAAAATTGAAGGCGCAGTAAGTTTCTGTTAATTGACATAGAAAATTCAATTCTAGGCAATTGAATTCCCAAAAATCGAACCTAACTCAATTAAAAAAATATATATTTAAATGAAATGCAATTCCAGAATGGCACTTTGCTCACAAATCAAAATACAAAACCACACTTCAAGAAATGAACAATGAACTTTTACGTCGTCGTATACATTTCCTCAGAAAGATTATAGCACTTCGATGAGCATAAATTAAACGTAATTGCGTTTAATATATAAATTAACATATAATTTATAAAAAAATTAAGACGTAATAAAATTTTACACATTCTTTAGTCAAATTGTAACATATAACGATTTAGCGATTTTACGATGACGAAAAAAAATTATTGAATTAAAAAAAAAAACTTTCCTTGACCCAATATGTTTATATATATTACATATGTAATAGAGAGTATAATAATTTATTTGTATTATATTTTTCTTCTAGGATATATTCTGTAATCAACATCGTCTGATACGTTTTATAGAGCAATCGATACGTCTGTGTAGCACTCAATCATTGAAAACTGCTCAACAAGCTGCTAAAACAAATCTCAATGCTGACTTTCAAGTCACTTCATCGATCAATACTAAATATACCAGTGCACCGGAACCAATTACACATGAACCTGATGTAGGTGATCAGTTCAGAGCATCACAACTCAATGTACGTTTGGCGACACCACAACAATTGCAACCGAAACCCGATAACGATGAAGAACTCAGCTTTGGTAAACTGTTCACAGATCATATGTTAAAAATTTACTATCACAAGAGTTTGGGCGGCTGGCAGAAACCACAAATTACACCTTTGGAAAATCTGGTTATGCATCCAGCGGCGAAGGTGTTGCATTATGCGGTTGAGGTGAGTTTAAAAAAATCTTTTGAATCTATTGATTTTTTATTATATGATATTTCTAATTTTCTATAAATTTAATGTTATTTTATTATTAGGATAAAAGTTTAAATACATAGAATAGTCATCATTTAAAGAAACTATTGTATTAAATTTAATAGTTATATCAATTTGAAGGTTTTTCTTAAAGTGAAAATAAGATTATTTGTAGATACTATTTTTCATCCCAGAAAATTTAATAGAAAGTTAATGACAATTTATTTATTAATGATAAACACCATAACTAATTTTTTTAACATTTTTAAAAATTTCATAACATCAGTTAGACAGCGAATATACCGCTGATATTAAAAACTCCTTAATACGATATATTCTGATCTTCATTGAAAGGTATGAATGTTTTTTGCTCTGTTAGGGTCAATGGTTAACGCGAAAGATCTACATAGTATAGTGAAAGTACACTGGTTCACCAAAAGACAATAATCCCATTATCTATTTTACGAAATCATGAAGCAGTATTCATACGTCTAATAATCGATCTTACGTTTGTGTTCCACAAACGCAGAGGCGGAACCTGCCACCTCTTTCTTTCATTGATTCTTGTCATGTTTTCTCCAATAACATCGTTTAGCTCTACCTACTTAAGCAAATATCGTATGAATTTATAAATTCCTGTCAGAAATTCAATGCCAAAATAGTATTAATATTTATATTGAATATTTTTTCAATATAAATTCCATTTTTCTTAATCTAAATTTTCTATTCTTTGTTATACCGGTCAATTTTATAGCTACCTACCTTCTCATGTAATTACTATAGGAACAAATAAACAATTATTATGCAATATAATAAAATATTTATAATTAATTTGCAAATACCACTATTGTAAGAACTTGTTTTCTTAAAGACCGGTATACATGCCTACACCCATAAGTATGTTTATGTAAATCTCTATAATATATTATACGACGTCTGGAACTAATCTCACTTTTTTTTGTATTATAAAGAATATTTAATTATTATGAAAAATAAGTAGTATTTAACACGTGCAATGCATTGACGTAAGTTTGCATAATCTTTTGGGTTAGTAACTAAGTGCAAAAATATTGTCTGTTTCCGAGTCACTAGTAACTGCAAACTATAATACAATGTTTTTAACATTAGTTCCGAATTCGCACGCTCCTAACAGTAAAAAGAATTCTATTAAATCATTGCATTAACAACAAATTTTCAATTTCAAAAGTCAAGATTATTTACTATCTCCCAAAATATTTCATCAGATCTATTTTAATGCTGACGCCAACTATTGAAATCTAGTCAATAGTTTTGTTTCCCAACTCGACATATTACATACAAACGTATTTTAATATATAATTATCATTTGATTGCAACTAATTAAATCAAATAAAATAAAAAATAAAGAATAATAATATATTAAATTTATTTTTAAAAACAAATTAGTAATTTACATAGATTTTAATAATCATTTTATTACTAACGTCACAAAGATGCTTCTCTAATAATTAAATATGTTTTCCACTTCAATTTAATCTGAACTTGTCTTCAAAACAACTTGATGAAGGGCATGTACCTTCGCAGATTTATTATTTAGAATAATCTTAAATATCGTCTGATTTCTTATCAAAAGCAATATTTATTGCAAAAACAATAACAATAATAATAATATTGTTATTGTTGATACTGTAGCTTAAAGAGATCGGTTGATGTTTTCCCTTTTCGAAAGGGTGAACACCCCTTTGTTTATATATTATATCTATATATTAGGTAATTGATGATGATTCGTTCCTTCCTCCACCATAACTAACTAACTCGTTATATCTATATATATATATTTGATTATTAAAATATATGTAACTTTTCTTTTTAGCTCTTTGAAGGCATGAAAGCTTATCGTGGTGTTGATGGCAAAATTCGTATCTTTCGTCCAAATATGAATATGAGTCGAATGAATTTAGCTGCTAAACGTTCTGGATTACCAACATTTGAAGGTGAAGAATTTATTAAATGTATATCACGTCTATTGTCAATTGACTCAGAATGGGTGCCACATACAGAAGCTGCCAGTTTATATATACGTCCCACCTTAATTGGCATTGATGTAAGTTTTAAATCTGAAGCAATAAATATATTTTAAAAAGATATATAAATTTGAATATAAAATATAATATATAAAACATAAAATACAAAATATAAAATAAATAATATATAAATATATATTATAAAAATATATAAAAATATATTAACCAATAAATATAAAGTACGCTTGACGCTTAAATATTTTAATATTTAAGACTATAAAATTATAAATTAAATAATAAAATCAAATTTAAGAAATAAATTTTTAGATGTTATGTTGTTTATTATTTACAATTTATTTACTTATCTTTTATTTATCTTTATTTTAGCCAACTTTGGGTGTTGCTTCCTCCGATTCCGCCCTACTTTACACAATATTGAGCCCTGTCGGCAGTTACTTTAAGGCTGATTCTGATGGTGCTGTATCACTGTTAGCAGATCCCAGATACACAAGGTAAGATATTAACTTGTATATTTTCAATATATTCATTTTACTTATTTGACTATTTTGCTTATCTATTTCTATATTTCAATATAGAGACCTTATAAAACATTTTATATTAATTATTTTTAAAAAAAATTTTATCATGTTTTTTAGAGCGTGGCCAGGCGGTGTTGGTAATCGTAAGATGGGTTCCAATTATGCACCTACAATTAATGTACAAAAAGAAGCCGCCCGCAAAGGATTAAACCAAGTATTGTGGTTATATGGAGAGGATCACCAATTGACTGAAGTTGGTACAATGAATATTTTCATGTTCTATATTAACGATCAAGGAGGTAAATTTACAATTTAATTTTATATGAAAAGTTTATACATATTTAATTTAACTTTTTTTTACTATTTTAGAGAAAGAACTGATCACACCACCCTTGAATGGACTCATATTGCCTGGTATTACAAGAGACTCAATTTTAGCTTTAGCACACCAATGGGGTAAATTTAAAGTACGTGAAGGCGTATTTACCATGCCACAAATATGCGAACTGCTTAATCAAGGAAGAGTAAGTTTTTTTTCATTAACTATATATAATTAACTATATATTAATAAATAACAATTTATTAAATATATATATTTCTTTTCATTGCAGTTGTTTGAATTATTTGGTTGTGGTACTGCCTGCGTAGTTAGCCCCATTAACCGTATTAACTATATGGGTCAAGATTTGTATATACCCACAATGGAACAAGAGAAACCCATACATGAGTTGATACGTGATACATTAACCGATATACAGTATGGCAAAATTGAACATCCCTGGGCTGTTGAAATTGATTAGTGTTCTATTAAGATTAATTATTTAAACTTAAGGAGAGAATAGATTTAAATTTTTTAAAACTATTTGAACGAAAGTGTATTAATAGTCGTTAAATATATAGAGAGCAGCGAAGTTTAAATCCAAATTATTTAGATATTACTTGCTGGTAGGGTAATTAAATACAAAAACGTAAACACTCGAATTTGAACTAATTTAATGCATTTAAATAATTTTAATTGGTTGGGTTTTCGTTAAAAGAATCATATTAAAAACTTAAAGGCTGCATATGAATGTCCTACAAACTTTGTATGTACATATATTTTATGTATACAAACAGATAAAGCATTATTATATAAATTATTTATTATATATATATTCTTATATAAGTTTTTTATGTAGTTTAGTTAGTAGTTTAGGCGTTTAATTTAAGTTATACTACATAAATTCTTCGCATACTTATACATAAGGAGTATCGATTACTAATACTCGTATAGAGCATTTTAAGTCTTTCTTTGAAGACCAAAGAGATTCTTTCATCACATACAATTGTTATACTCGTAAAAAAGCATTTCAAGCTTTTATATTTTATGTTAGAAATTAAAATTATATTCTGTAAAAAATAGACCAAAAAATTTTAGAAACAAGAATAAATAGCCAAACATCATAAAGCAAAATAATAAGATTCTAATACTATATTCAGACAGTCAAATTTTCTTAATTTCGTTCTAACCTCAAAACAGAATTTTGTATGGAAAAAACAACTTAATTTCACTGAAACGAAGATGAAATTAAGATTTTTGAGAAATTAAGTTGTTTCGGAACATAGTGTAAGAGTTTCTTAAGATTTTACTTCATTTCATTTTTGTTTCTAATAAAAAATTTATTTGCATTTTTTAATAGAATATGTTATTTATGCCTATTAATTTTAAATATATATAAATATTATATATATTCTCAGGGACTATTTTTACAGAAGCAAAAAAATTGTAATTTTATTCTTACGTACCGGCAAAATGTGCATTTATTATTTATTAAGTTGCAATTAATTAATTCAAATATTATATATAATTGATTTTAAATATGTTTTTTTTGAGAAACAATTCAAAATTGCAAAAATTTTTTATAAAAATTGAAAATTTAAAAATTAAAAGTTAAAAGTTAATTTAACGCTTTCAAACAAAGCTAAAAAATGCTGTGACAAAAGTTAAAATAAATAATTTCTTACATTAATTTAAACAATATTATAAAATAAATAAATATTCTAGGTTAAAGCCTAAAGATTTTATTGTAAAAATATACACTTCAATAAAAAATAAATATATACATATATGTATATTTTTGGACAAATTAAAAATGGATTCTTATTTCATTAATTTTAGTCATTAATTTCTTTAATTTATGCTCATAATTTAAGCACTAATTCATATTTTATACTAAAAAAATATTTTAACGATATCTAGAATCTATAGTCATCATATATAAAAGCTAAGTATACCACAAATCCCCGGTCGTATAGGTATACTCGAGCATGACGCGGATGATCAAGCAGCAAAATCCGCAAGCTGTTCTTCCATTACCTTTGCAATTTCTGAAAGTGTTATCCTTTCCTAAATAACACGATAATTGGTCAAACCAACGATATGAAGTAGCAATATGTTATTCTACAACCTTCCATCATTATCTTTTCCGGAACAACTCCATGAAATCGCTGAGAACCAGCGTCTAAGAATCGGACACATTCCTGGGTCCCACAAGTCAAGAACCATGCAGCTTATGAGTTCCATACTAACTCTTCATATCCGTTTCTCCAATCAAAGACACCGTAATACAATTTATCAAATGTACAACTTCATACGGAAAATAGTTACAGCTTGTATTTGATTCCATACCTTTTGGGCACCGAAACAAAAATTGTCATATATAGAATGTACTATATATGACCATGCAGTATATATCACAAACGGTGCATAATAGATACCTATTCTTTCCTACCCACACCACTCCCTATCTGAATTTTATCTAAAGTATTAGAGACAGACAGGATATTTAATTTTGATTGTATTTTATTCAGATTTCATGTTTTATATTGTAAATATAGGATTATATATATTTTAAATATATACTTATTTATAAACTTTTAAAGGTTCCTTGTTATAGATTTTATTTTTTTTTTAATTGCCATATATATTGATTACATTTGAATGTTTCAAAATATACTCTTTATAGGTTTCTCTGGTATTGTGCTCGGTTTGCAAGAAGTGCATTTTAATTATTATTTGTATTTAATTTTTTGAGCTTGTCTATATATCGAATTATATATATATTTTTTTTAATTTACTTAATAACAGTGACAACAATAAACTTAATATTAAAATTTAACAATGAATAAATTGTTTAAAATTCTTATTATTACATAAAAACATATAAATTTTCATTTATTGTATATAATTTTAAAATATTTGATAAATTTAAAAAAATTTTTATTGGCAAGAAAAAATAAATAAAATTAAAAATTTTGTAAATTTCAAGTAAAAGTGGTAATAAATTTAAAATTTTATTTTGAGTATAATTTTGAATTTTACTATTTAAAAATTTTTTAGCTATTATATAAAAGTTTTTATTGTTCAGATATTCTTTTTTTATATATATATTTAAAAATTAATGTTTTAACATTTGTGTTTTTATATTTTTTATGATAAAATTTAAGTTTTTAACATTTGCTTTTTTATTAGATTGTTTCGTTCTTATTTTTCAAATAATTCGTTATTTATATTTTTTATTCGTTATTTAAACATTTTGTTTTTTAAACAAATTTATTATATTTATTTTTATTATATATATTTCTATATATGTTTGTAATATAATGCACTCTATAACATTGACATTCGTAAATTGTTACAAAAGTGTTATTTTAAATAATTCTTCAATCAAAATCAAAAACAAAAATATATATTCAAAATTAATATATATATTATATTAAAACATTTATATAATTATATATATTTAAAATATTTTAACATAGTATATATAAGCCATTATCGTTAATTCATCTAAATTTTCTTTTTAAAAGATTTATCTAATTCGTATTATATATTTTTATAACCCATCAAAGGTCCACATATTTATATAAAAGTTTACTATATTTTATATTATATTTATTTTAATAACATAATTTAACAATATTTGGTGGACTTTCTATCTTCTCAAATAGAAGTGTTAGAAGTTATGTATATAATAATTTGTTTACTATGGATATATTTAATTAATGTTATTAGAATAGAATAAAATATATGGGATAGTAGCTCCAACCATGCCTGATTTTTTGTGTTATTAACTACACAGATCCTAAGATTAAACGGGTATAAGAACTCCCAAAACAGTATTCTTCTTCTGGCCTACTTTATTAATGTTATGAAGTCGTAATTTAATTACTTTTGCTTACAATATTAAAATAAAATAAATTTCGAAGAGAATTATAACAAAATTGCAAAAAAAAAAATAAGAAAATATTCTTATATAATATTACTACAAAATAACTAATATATATAACAATTTACATATGTCAATGTTTCAATATTTCACTATTAGACGTTAACTTTGCTTTACTAATTATTTTCTATTTTGTATTTTTTCTTAAAGCACAAATTTCTATTGAATAAAAAAAATTATTTTTAAAAATGGAGAGTATTTATCTTAATCATTTAAAATTTATATTCATCAAAAAAATTAATAAAATTTTCATTGTAAACTGTTATAATAATTTTGATTTATGAAATAAGCAATGTTTTTTTTTTCTTAAGTTTTATATAACATTTCAAATTGTTATAAGGAAGAGTGCCTTTAAGGATTTACTTCTTTAAATACTTTAATACTATTTTTGTTTCGTTTTTACTTTTATTGCGTTGAGTTCCTTATAGAATTTTAACTACATAACCTTACATATATTATTTATAAATAAATGGTTTCATAGTTTATACCTACTTAAAGAATTTATTAATATTTTTTTTTGCAAATTCTATAAATTTAAATATTTACTTGTAATATTGTAATAACAATTTTCATGTTTTCTTTTTTTAATTCTTAAAAACTAATCTCATAAGAATACATTTAATAATATTTTGTAATATCAAAGACTAATTAAATCATAAGTAACTTGCTCTATTGTTATTAGATATGGTAAAGATAGTGAGCAAATTTTTTTGACTAATATACCAGTAGCCTTGTCATCGTAACGAAATTTTAATTGAATTCCCTTTGTTGCTCTCAACATAAAATTTAAAATTTGCATTGAAAACAACAATTTCACATTTGATGTGACCATAACTGTCTGCATAATAAGTCTAAATTTTAAGTCTTAACCCAACTATAGTTATTCTGTCTTGTATTACTTAGAATTGACATATAACTGATATCATTTTTGAATCTTCTACAATAATAACAACATCCTTTTTGTTGAATTCAACTCGGATATTTTAGTTACTATACATATACGTATGTATACACACGTATATATATCGTTATTAATACAATTTAATTAGTCTATGATATTACATAAAATTTATATATAAAAAGTTATTTTGGTTAAAGGAGACTAGCATTAAAATTAAATTCACAATATTCATAACTAACATTACGTTCAATCTATAAAAGGTACACTAATAAAACGATACAAATTATACTATCACAAATAATGTTCATAATAAATGACTACTAATAAAATAAAGCAATTTACAATAACACTAGATTTCTTCATTTTTATGCTTTAAATAATTGTGGAAATTCATTAGCAATCTCACGTACTAACTGTTGGTCTGAAGCGCTACATTCAGTCTCCTCACAAAAAATACGTGTAAATATTTTCATTAGATCCTGTTTGCGATGTTGGTGCTCCTGATAATTAGTGTTGCGTAGAATACGACGACAAAGTTCAAGATAGCAACGTCTCAGCTTTAAATAAATAATATAAAAATTAAAGTTAATAAATAAATAAATATATACTAACCGGATTTCCAGCACACAAATCAGTTAATTGTCTTACTAGAATATCAATTAAGACTTTATTATCGTTTGTATAAAACATGCCAGCTGTTTCGGGATTGCTGAACACATCAATAAACATTTTCAGTACGGAATTCATGTTGTCAGTAGAGTGTTTCAATAATTTTATAGGATCCTCTATATATAGCATACAGATATATGACATATAAATAAAAAAATACAATATACGAAAAGAATATAGTACCTTCTCTATTCAATAATAATAGAATTTTTTCTGTGAATATTTTTGCGGTTGGTAATGACTGCATGGCTTCTACAACTACATTTTGTGAAAAATCGGTAAATTGTAAATTAAAAGCTAAAATTAATGCTATGACCATATCAACAAGCACTTCAGAGTTATTGCCTTCCACAATTTCCAATAGAAAGCTGGCAAAGTGTACACCAAGATAATCTGAAATAATAAAATAAATAAATATTTTTTATTTTATGATTACAAATAAATATTTAATAAGTTTCTACAAATCATATATATGTGTGTATAGTTTTGCTATATATGTATCAGACCGGAGACTTATTAGGTGATATAATGTAGTACTATATAAGATAACTACCTTGATGGTTTACTGGCATAGGTTGACCTAAGGAGAATATGATTGTTAACATTTTGACAAGCTGCTTAAATTTATCTAAGTTGCCAAAATTAGTTTTCATATCTTCTACCTATAAAAAGTAAAATAAATTAATTTATAAAATAATATTAAATAGAAAGACTCAACACTTACAATTTCTAATGGTAAAACAGAAGTTAATAATATATCAACTATTATATGATCCAAATGGCAAGCTGCAGTAAAAGTCTTTAAGAGTAAGCGTTTAATAGCCCAACGTGTTTCCATTTGATAATATTGCACGAGATTAACAAGCGCTTGATATTGATCACAAGACATCTCATAGCAACTAATATTTTCGTCAGCATTATTCTAAATTGAATACAAAGCATGCATTTATAAAAAATTATTATTTTATTATGTAAATATACACTTACTAATATCTCTACTAACTCCTCTAGAAATTGGACAATATCATCTTCATCTTCGTACAACATCCACGTGCGTTGTTCCGAATCATTTTTGCAATCAGCTAATTGTGAAAATATATATTGCAAACGTTTTGAGTCGTGCGTCATGCCAAGCAAGTCTTTAGGTGTTTCCACTTTATCGGTAACATGTATTGCCACAGCTTCCAAATATGGATTTATGGCGCCATTGTACAATTGCTCTAGACTCGTGAGTACAACACGTAAAGCCTCACAGGATAAATCAAAACTTAAATTTGTGTTGCGACGTATTACATCGACAATTTGATAAACATCCGCAGATTCTACTTTTAAATTTGTTGGTGAGAACCCATGCAATACCGCAGCGGCAGCATTAGCATGTAATTGCCTTTGTACAGCGCTATCTTCACTATCCAAAGCTTGACTATTCTCTACGCTATTGGTGTAATCACCTTTGCCATTATTACCAGTGTTTTTGCCATCACTCGGTGGCTCACTTGCATCTGACTTTTCGGTGCCTTTCTCATCTGTTATTTGTTCACTAATGTCGGTCATTGTGCCACCGCCACCAGCACCAGTACCAGCGCCAATACTATTATTATGCCCATCACTACCATTGTGTTGTGTGTATGCATGTGTGCCCGTTTCACGCTGACTTGGTTCTTTGTATGTTGTTACCACATCTTCGCTAGTTGTAGTTGTTGTTGTAGTAGTCTCTGAAGGCTCTGATGTAACGCTATTATCTTGCGCAATATCATTTGCTTTACTTTGCGGTACGGGTTGCGGCTGCTGCTGCAGTTGTTGTTGTTGCAATTGTTGCTGTTGAGATTGCTGTGTTTGCACTTGCATTGTACCCATGCTGGGTGATTCTTGTATTAATTGCGGCATTGCAGCACCAACAGAAGGACTTGACATAGACTTTTTGTTACTGTCAAGTCGTTTCGATTGTGGAGGACTATGTGGATATTGTTTATACGATGCGGAGTTATTGGGTGATGCATGACTATTACTTTTATAATTTTTATCGCCAATACTTTGTGAAAAAGAAAGTGAAGATTCGCAGTCTAATTCAGAATTATCCTATAATTAAAAAATATTGAATAAATCGATTAAAATTATTCATTTATATTAAAATACTTTACCAAATATAATTTCTCCATGGCTACTTTTTTTTCACGCAGTCTTTCTAGCAATTCCTCTTTTGGCATAATGCCATTGACTTCTGCTTCCTTAGATTTTTCCAAGGATTCAATGGAAGAATTTAGGAAACTTATTAAAAAATCCGGCTCAACCTATTTAAAAAATAAATGAGTAAATAATTAAATAAATAAAAAACAAAATTTAAGAAAAAAAACATGACAGATAAAATTTTATTTCAATATCTCTATAATAAAATAGTTTATTTCATCCCATAACATAATTAAGAAATTGATTTGCTCTGAAAACCCTTGAAACAAAAATCCTTTGGCTTGCATGTGAGAAGGATGATGAGAATGATGATACAAAAAGCAACCCCATTGTAAAGTCCTTAATATCTTAATATTTATTTAAAATGCTGTACAAAATATGTTATGGTTTAATAATTTCTACTTGTCCTTATTAAAGGTATTTCTGCTAGGAGCACTCGGAAAGCCAACAGCAGCAACAACAACCACATGACGAGAACGACAGTAACATATTTTCACGTAACAAGTAGTTGACAAGGACACACAGTTAATAATCATTTTATACTTGTAATATCCTTAATGAATATTTATGTATGTCAATAAGACACATACCATAAGAGTAAATAATTTGAAGTAGTTCTATACATGGTAGAGGAAATTACGTCTTTAAATAAATTCATAAAGCGTTTTAATCGTACGGAAATCTGTTTAAAATTATTTAAATCAAATAAAATAGTGGAGAAGGTAAATATAGAATAAAAACTATACTCGTAAAACAAATAAAAAGAGTTAACTGTGGCTTTGCCTAAATTATATTACTATTCACACAGATAATTTTATTATATATTATTTATTTATCATATTATTTATTATATTATTTACACACCTAAATTTACGAACATCGGGTTTCTTCAGATATTTTTTATGGCCGATACATGATATAGTCGTTTAATAGTCGTTCTAGACAAAAGTAGGTGTTTATCAACCGAGCAAGTTGCTTTTAAAACTTAATTAAACTATATTAATGCACTACTTGAACACAGTAGAAGTTGTGTCACCACTAGAACCAATCAACTAGTATTCAGATATATTAGATCCAGAAACTTGTTAGCATATTTGTTATTGATTCGAATGAACTGTTTGGCCTAAGACTTTTCTAAGGTTCAAAATTTTTATTGACTTTAAGTACATAAACAAGTATTGAGTTTTATCAACAATTTATAAATACCCTCATAGTAGCCTACTCTTTATGGTAGGCTACTAGTAGTTTACTCTTTATACTCTTTATAGTTGCCTAAAGAACTCAATAAAGTCGTAAACGTTACTGAATAACTATATCTAATCAAAGTACTAAGGAAATATCAGCATATGAGCAATATATCAAAATTTCAAATTGAAACGTAGTTAGGCTCTTTACTATACTTTTCTGATCCAAATTATCTTATTCATCCTTTATAAAACCAGCTAATAAACATAATATGCCTATATCAGTCTATTTAATTAGATGCTTCTGACAAAGGACATCACATTTAAAACTTATAAAACGCCATTACGTTCCTTTATAAAAAGCGGTGAACTCTCACGGTTTCAGTCAATAAGTAGATCGGTACATTTAAACGATAAAAAATCGATGGCCCACTAATGGTTGGAGTTGATATCTTTAAAATTCCTTAAAATTATACCTTAGACTTTTAAACACTAGAATTCGATGCTGGCTATCAGTTTTATCAAAGCATAATAAATTAGATAGCTTGGTCTTATTATCCGAAAGTCAGATGGAAGTAAACTTAAAAGAGTTCCTTAAGGAAACTATAATGACTTGTTTTAATAGCTGTTAATGGTCGATGAAGGCCCTATACTTCACAAGGAGAAGACGACTGGAGTAAGTAAATAAGTAATGGTCGATAATCCATGAAAGTTCAATTTTTTTTTTGATGTCAACTTTGTTATATCTGATTTAATTTTCTATGTACCATAAAATGGAATGATTGCTACCAATACTTAAGAGTTGTAGGTATCATTATTGACTATACATAATTTTAGTGCACTATCCAATGAACTACGCTGGTAATAAATGATAAAGTGAAAGTAAATTGAATTATTTGTAAATAATCTAATTAAAATCAAGTCATAATATTGCAACAACAGCAAAAATTGTTAAATGATTCTATTAAAGAAGACAAAGGAAACAAAGCACCGCCCTTAAATAAAATAAATTGTAAACATTTTACTTCAGTTCATTCAATTGCAGTTGCAGTTGCAGTGGCAGTTGCAGTTACAGTCCTAGTAATAAAAAATTCAAGAAGAAACTAGAGCAGAAGTGGATGCAGCAGTTTTTAGGCCCTTCGTGTTAATCATTTAATTGTCACGTACACTTGGTGTAGAGAGCAAAAGTTTTGTGGCAATTGTCGGTGAAGTTTCCGTTTTGTTTTTATATTCGGCACTGCAGGGGATTTTCTTTTTATAGGTTTCTGTTGTCGGTCTCAAGTATAACATCTTTGCGTGTTTAAAGTTTTTAACCGAATCATGTCAATAAACTTTCCGATACGCTAAACGGAGCGAATATATTTGATTTATAGAAAATTATATACTGCAGACACAATTTTCAAGCAGTTGACCTTTTAAACAAAAATTTTATAGAAAGATATATATGGATTTATACGGATCATACTTTTATGAACCCGTATATTAAATCTATTTATAGATAATAGATAATCGATTGAGGGAAACTAAAAAAATAAACGATTGTTGAAGTGAATTCAACATAAAGAAGCCATTATCAATTTATTGAAACTATTTATCATATATTAATATTTAACTATCGATGATATGTAAACTATTTACTAAATCAATCAATGGAATATCATGTTTAAGTTCAAATAATATAAAAACAATGAAGCAAGATTAACGCAATATACTAGCTCACAAATACTAAACTTTTTGAAGTAACATAATGGGCCAATAGAACTAAGTGAATCTTTATAATCGCCGATATAACCTAATCTTTTTAAACTAATCTAACAGATCAGTTAGAACAGTTTAAAGATATTTAAGCATAGTTGAAACATCTTCAGTGACACTATTAAAGGAATACTGAATTATTATTAATTTATTATTTATTTATGACTTATAACTCTCACAGGGCGAAAAGTAATCTCGATTCTGGGATCAAGATAAAATCGGCATACATGCGACAATTTGCTGATTTATTCGGTAATCACCAATTTGAGAGACATCTCAAATAAGGAAACAGAATTTTATAAAAACAAAATAGTATTTAAGAACAGGGACAAAAACTCTTACTAAAATCGGCTTACAGAAATTAGTTCAAAAACAATAAACACATAGACAGCAGCAACAGCGCAATCCAGATAAGCAGTTAATAAACATTATCTAATGCCGTGTGAATAGCAAATATTTTATTACAATGAATTAAATTAATTAAGAGATTTTATAAATTATAAATTATCATTTATAGGTAAAAAAGTTTTAAATAAAAAATAAAGAGTTGTACATTAAATTTCCAACAAACATATTGTTAATGTTCGAAATGTATACGTGTGAATAGATTGAAAACCAATCATAAAGATGCAAGTAAATCCTAACTCTGAAAGTTTTAAGAGCATAATTCTTACTTCATATGTTTTTTTTCATAAGTTGCGAGTATTTTTTGCTACTCTGAAAGAAAAAATTACGGTTATTGTCTAACTTTCTACCGTCAAAGTGGATTTTACATTTTAGCGTTATATACACAAATTAATTTCATTCGTTTCATTTTTGAACGAAACAATGTGTCAGTGTGAACACCAGCTTTCGTTCAAAAACAACTTAAGGATGAATTTGCCGATTTCTGTTAATGAATTTATTATTGAAGTCAGGTAATTTATTAGAGGTGTTTGAGGACAATATGTGTATCTCTAATTGTATAACAACAGACCTTCAATCTAATTAATTATTTTATGTATTTAATTCGAAAAATAATTACATTATTTAGAAAATCTTGTTAACACAAAATATTATTTAAGTAATTCTATAAGGTTACTACTTAAGTATATTGGAAATACTTTAACGCTAGAAAACACTTGGATCCAGAATTTCATTTTATTGCATATGAAATTATATGTGCCGGTTAAAATATTGATGCAATTTCTTATTATATAAAAACCCAACCAATAAAAATAATTCACTTCTGCTATTTAAACGTTGTTCCAATTAGAGAAATTGGGTTGTTGCCATGATACAATTAAATTAGCAAAATAAAACTCCGACAATAAAAACCTCCCATGTTAAGTCCAAAAGTACTTTAATTCAACCCCACTTTAGACCCGCACATAGTCCTTAGTAAGTTTCACAATAATTAGAAATATATTCAAATAATATATATTAATTATATTATACTTCTTTACTTACCTTAATCTTCATTACGTAATTGGATGGCACAAAACCAATATTTCCCTTCATGCTGACCACTTGCCACCAGTTCCGTTGGCGTGCGGACGTCTGGTACAATATAAAATATTCGCCTTCATCAAAACTGATGGTCTTAGGATAGACCGCTTGGAAGTCATAAAGTGCTTTCAGCATTTCAATATTATCTGGGAAGAAGCCACGACACAAAAGGATTTTATAATAAACAGGATGCCAAACATTACAAAACTACAAAACGAACAAAAATCACGGAAAAGGCAAACACGACGAACGAATGCTGCAGCAGCAACGACAGCGGCAGCGGCAACGGCTTGAATTGCCTAAGGCAACGACAGTTTTCACTTGACTGCCAAAAAGTAAAAAGTGCAAAGCACGGCAAAATGCAACTTTCGTGTTCTGCACATTTTTCCTACATATTTTTGGGCTTTTTTGTTTGTCCTTTGTTTTTTCGTACACATACATTGCTTTTTATTATTATTATTCGCTACTTACCCATTTTCTTTCCAAGGACGTTAATTGGATTTTTGTTGATCTTTTTTCTCTATAATTTTTTCATTCAGGGCGGAGCTGTGGTAAGAGGCACAGTATATAGTTGTTTTATTTATTTATTTTTTTTTTGTCTCACAAAGCTATATAAAAATCTTTTGATTTCTTTGCTATTTTGATTTTTTTTTCTTATAAATGCTTTTTATAAATAAATGCACTAAGTCTTATTCATATTTAAATGCTTTGCACTACATTATAAATTTTGTTTTTATGGGCTTTATTCAATTTTTCAACAAACGCGCACATTTTCCTGTGTACCCGTCCAAGCTAACTTCCCGTTTATACATTGTCGTACACAAGCGAAAGAAATTGCTGAAGTAATAAATCTCCTCCACCCTTTTTTTGGAGAAGGACATAATTGCTTTCTATTTTGGCATTCGCAAGCAAATTGTATCAAAATAAAACAGAAGCATAAAACAAAATGTCAAAAAACATATGAATGGTATGAATAAATAGTGCTGCCAGTTCACAAATAGCGTTTAGGTTTAATAAATGTAAGACAAATGTAATAAATGTAATTTAAATTCTATCCAGATTTACTCTTAATCTGCAAATTTTTGTTGCCAAATCTAACATTTTTAGAGTAAACAAACAATTTTGTAGTTTTGTTAGTGGGCATTTATATATTTCATTAATACATATGTCGAATCAAATCACACTTTACCTGTCAAGCTATATAAAACAGCTATTAACTTCAGGGTAATATTGCTACTCTGGCAAAATATCTATGGCGTTTTCGATTACTAAATCTGGATTCAATCTAAATTTACTCTCGATCTATCACATTTTGTTGTTTAACCGAAATCATATCAAAGTTTATCTGTCAAATCATAACAAACAGCTGATAATTTCAGTCTAATCTTGATACTCCGGAAAAATATCTAGAATGTTATGATTTAATATCGAGTGTTATACATTTTGCACCAAATTTACCAATCGAAAATGAAAATTACACTAAAAGTGCTTTAAAAGAACATCTTGATTGATAAAATTACTAAAGTGTTATAAATTAATCTCAAGAGTTACACATTTCGCAAAAGAGATACCAGACCAAAATGAAATTTTGCATTAAAAGTGAATCTCGTTTAAAAAAGTTATCTCAGATTTATCAAAAGACATTAATGCAACTTTATATTTTGGATTAATAAATTTCGAGCGGAATGTGTATCACTCAAGAATAGTTTTTAACACTGTAGATATATACATATGTACATTGGGAGAATAATACAACTACTCTGAAATTAACAATTGTTTTATGTTATTAAACACTGTATTCTACATCTTTTAACTAGGGGTTTCTTGTAAGGAATGTGGTCGTAAAACGGCGAAAATCGCTAACTGAGGTAGATGGCTTATTACTGCAGCTCGCCAATCATATACAAGCATATGCATATAAATATTAAAATATGTATGATTGTGAAAAATCCCATTTATATTTTTCTAGTGGTACAAATATGCTATCTTCGCCACAAGGATAATTTAAATAGAAATATGTCTTTACATAGCTTTTGAGTCTCGCGTAAACGGGTTTATATACCCACATGCAAACATTTCGTTTCGAAACAAATGACATTGAAGTGTTATACGACTCAATAAGAAACTGTTCTAATTTTATTTTGATATAAATCGATGTCTTGGCAGCACTACACAACTGCCCATTGTAAACAAAAGTTACTGCAGCCGGCAAATATTTACAAATTTTGTTTAAAACATACATTAAAAATATGCCAAAAATCGTGGAACTACGTCAGGATCGAAACTTAATACGCAGCAATTTTGATGGATATAAGTTGTCATTAGATGCAGTGCCACTTATACGGCAAGAGTTAAACAAAATTCCCTACAAAGCAACACAAAATGATGCACAATATTCACTCCTACATACCGAATTGTTTTCAATGCAAAATTTGTTGTATGCTGATCCGTGGTGCAGAACAACAACCTATTTTGTTAGTACACAAGGAGAAGTAGTGTGTAGTAACTACGATGAAAGTATTGGGCGTCCACAGGCTCCACAAGTGGTGTATCGCATGAAGTCAGAAAAGCCACGTGTCAATGGCGACTACAATTATTCAATGCGTTTTATATCGGAGAAGTATTGTGTTGTCTGCAATGGTAAACGACAAATTTTTCTACTAGAAACAGGTGATAGACGCAAATTATTAGAATGGAAACAAGTAAGCAGCGCGGAAATTTGCAATGCTGAAGAAAGCTGTAATTTCACAATACAAGATTGCCGCTTAGACATCATACAAGAACAGAAACAAATATCAATGATATTAGGCAATATACAAACAAAAGATATTGCTAATGGCACATCAAATCACTATATGCATCTATACTGGGCGAAATGGGTACAAAACGATACGTGGACATTTAATATTTTAGACAGTTTGGAAGGTAGGGGTTCATTGTATTATTGTGCTTTTGAACCTCGATCGGAATCATTGGTTTTATGTTCAAATAGAGAAATCAAATTTAAATCAGAAAATGAAATCAATACAATTGGTACGGAAGTTTTGGAAAAACCACAATTACACACTGAAAAGAATGAAAATAGTGGTTTTCAATGGTCGCAGACGGACGAAGATATAACCATAAAATTTGATGTTAAGGAAGATAAAGAAAAAACCGATTATAATGTTAAATGCACTTCGGATAAATTAACTGTTAAATGTTCTGAAGACACATTATTAGATAAAGTTCTATTCAGTAAAGTTGACCAAGATCTTACAACTTGGACGATAGTAAGTACCAGATTACATTTATAAATTTAAATTCTTAATAATTTAAATATTCCGTTTAGGAAAACAATTTTTTGCAAATAACACTGTCAAAACAGATTTCATCATTGTTTTGGACTTCATTACTTGAAAATGGTGAAGGTCCTAAGGAAACTTTAGACAACATCAATTCAAATCCTATACCTATGGAACAACAACCAATAGCAAATTTAGAAGCACCTATAGAAGATTGCGATTTTCCTATAGGCATTATGGATGATGAAATTAAAATTGGTTTGTTTTATTGTGATTCTTTTTTCATTACTCTTATTTTTTTTAAATTAATTGTTTTTAAAATTTAGAGCGATTTAATTTACCCACAAAGTCGGTTACACATTCGGTTTTGTTGGGCTCGACTCCACCTTTGTTTTCAACAAGCTTGCGACCAGGTTTTCCATTGGCTATAGCTACGAGACAGGATGTGGATGCGTGCCTTTGGTTACAGCAATACAATCCAAGTAAGCCAGATGTTTGGGCATTACGTCATGAAGGCAATTTGCATGCTTTTGGATATGTACAAGCATCAAAGCAACAAAAGAAATTTATGGACTGTTCGCCAGATTTAAATTATGCAATCATAACTGAGTCTCATAGACATATTTTCCTCTACAAATCTAATTATGATTCAGAAAATAGTTTACGAAATCGACATGGTCCACAAGTTCAAATTGGTAAACAACATTTAATTACATTGGATAATGTGGGAGAAGTTTTAGGAATGGCAACAGCAGCGACAGTTGTAACATTTTTAACTGAAAAGTATCTATTATATTTGCAGATAAATTAATTCAAAAAAATTTTTTAATGATTTAGCATTAATCATACTAACTATATGAGTCACTTGAAGTGTAAATGTGCAAGTAATGATTGTGTTGCTAAATTAGTTTTTGATAAAAATTATAATTTAAATACGCTTGTAAATAAATAAAGACCAATTATTTATAACGTAGTATTGTATATTGTATTATTATTATTATTTTTTTTTTTTTTGCTTAATATTGTAGAGAGAATAGTTGTTTGTTTCTAAATTGATTTTCTATGCTGAATTTGTATGAAACACAATCATAAATCGGCAACAGAGGCCAGTGTCGTATATATAGACTTATCTATGGTGGAGTTTTCAGAAAATAATTCAAAATTCTTACGAAAATATATTTTAAAAAAACCGTTTTTAGGTCGGTTTTGTTTTATTTTATTTTAAATAATTTCAAACAAAAATAATAATTAAAATGAAAATATCTAGTTTGAATAAACTGGTAATTTTTGTTTGAAATTAACAAATAAAATTAATGTTTTTATTTACATTTCTTTATATTATTTAAAGTAAAATATTATAAATTTTCATTTTTTTTATATTATTTGAAGTGATTTAACACAAAGCCGACCTTAAGCACAACCAAAAACAAATTCTTTTAAACAATAAAGGACGATATCGATATCTACAAAAATAAAAAATATATATATTTAGTGTTAAATGGGCCGATATGTTAAAGGAGATTTTGAACCTTTATTCCTACCAACCTTCTATAAACTATTGGCAAAAGCCAAGGAACAGATTATATATATAATACAGATTTTTATTACTTTTGAAAAATGAAATGAAAAATGTCTGGAAAAACATATTCAGTACTAGGAAGAATTTGCTAAATATGGAAGATGATTAAATATTGTATTTTATATCTTTTCAAAATACTAACATTTATTTTAATAATAGGTTATAAAAGCTCAAGAAACGTTATTACTTTGAAAAAGCTTTCAAAAAAAATTAAAGCAGCGGGACTGTTAGGAGGTCATCCTACATTAAATGAATTGAGCGGGAAAAAGCTGTCAGAAGAAATATTAATATTTTTTATGAGATTAAAACTTGTCAATCATGTCGAACAATATGGATTAGAAATATACCAAAATTGAAGTCGACTTCTATATAGAGATATAGTAACGATTTCATCACATAACATATTTGATATTTTAAAATTAGTTGAATTATATGCAACTAATTAATAACTAAAATTATAAGTTATTATTGTATGAATCATTAATATATTTTTGAAGGGTATAATTGATAAATTGTTTAAATAATATAACATTTTAAATAAGTTTAAAAAAATATACAAATACAATACAAATAATACTTATAGAAATTTAATGAAATTTAAAGTTTAAAAATACTTTATAAGAATTATTGATATTAATACAAAAAATACTAAAAAATAAATTTAATTAATTTTTTAACCTAAAAAGAATATATATAATTGATTTATATATCAATAAATACATGATATTAAAAATACTTTATTAGAAATATTAATATGAATACAAATAATACTAATAGAAATTTTATTAATTTTTTAACTAAAAAGAATAAATATGTTTGATTTTTATATCAATAAATATATGATTTTAAATTACTTTATTAGAAATATTAATATCAATACAAATAATACTAAAAGAAATTTTATTAATTTTTTAACCAAAAAGAATAAATATGTTTGATTTTTGTATCAATAAATATATGATTTTAAAAATACTGTACTTTTACTGTTGCTATAAAAATTTACATCAATCGATAAACAAAACACTACCAAGCAAAACCAACTATCGGAACCATACAAAGTACACAATACACAAAATGTACACAAGAAATGCTCAAACTTTTAGTACACAACAGCTGAGTAAAAAAAATGAGAGTGGTGATTGTGGTGCTGAAATGAATACGTCAAAATGAATAAATAGCAGAATTCGTTAATTAATTTCTTAATTTTATTTCAAAATTTGTGAGAGCAGCAGTCCGAATAATTGTCCGGACTTTTTATGTGAAGACATACATTTTTCTTATTGGAAACTGAGTCAATATTCAATATTCAAATAAGCATTTAAAACATTTCTGTTTTTGCGAAGTGAACCGATTGTGTAGTTATTTTTTTTTTTGATATCTGTTGTGGATACTTGAGTACGTCCATTCGCCGCTAATAGAGTGAGGTCATCTCATATCATTGCTTTTTTTTGTTGATAATTCTAAAAGCGCCGTTGGAGCACGCGGGCCGCGTAAACTTTTATATATATATATATTAGAAGAAAAAAAAACGTGACAGTCATTCTGATAATTTTTTTTAAAAATTAAAAATAATTTTTTTTTATATTTAAAATCTTGTACAAATTTATCGTGTGCAAAGAATTGTGAAATAATTTCTGCCATATACGCGTACCCCTTTTGAAGTGGGTTGAGGATTGCAGCAGCACAAAAAATAATAAAAAAAACAATTGCCTTTAAGTGCATTACACAATAAAGAAAATCCATCCTCTCATTAGAAACGGTTTATCCACTTTCAATTGAAGTTGAAGTGGTTTTTCCTGTGCTGCAAGCAAATCGTTATCCTCGTTTAAATAATTTACACAACACCTAAGAGAATACAGACTGCAAGTGGCAGATTTTAAGTCGTATATTAAATTATATTATAAAAAACAAAACATTTAAGCCGGTAAGTAAAAAAAAACTTTTATAAATAATTACAATTATTATTATTTTTTTTTTTTGATTAGAAAAACTTTAAAAAATAGTTTTTTTAGTTATATATTTTATATATTTTATGAAGAGTGAAATTAATTGTGTTTATATCATTTATAATTTTTTATTGTTTTTATACAAAATATTCCACTCTGCTTTTTAATATTTTTAATTAATTTTCTCACATGGTTTTCACTTTTATTTATTTGACAATAAATACAAATACGAGATGCAATAAGTCCCACATTTTCAAAGATTATCTGTTACACGCTGAGATAAATTCTACCTCTCTTTATTATTAAAGATATTAAAGAAGAGTGAACAATTGTTAGGACCCATACATTCTATAACTTTTTTACAATAGATTGTAAACGTCGAAAAGGGCAATGTTATGCTCAACGCATAATTAATTACAGGAGTCGCTAGCTATAGAACTTGACAACTCCCACTATAGTCCAATTAAATATAAATTTATGTAGCTGTGGTTTATGCGTTAGTACTAAAAATAGCACCACAAGTACAATTGTTGTTTATGAAAATATAACAAAAACTAGAAGAAAAAAATTAAATTTAAATAACGCAAAATAAATCTGTACTAACAAATAAGTCCAAGAATGAATTTTGACCGGGTTCAATTTAAATTTGATAGAGATATTTCCAGAGATCACTAATGATGGATATTTGGTGGTATTTGAAACCAACACTAATGAAAAATAAAGTTTATGTGTTTCATCGCTGTTATAACCTTTTCCAATAGAAGATATGTTTTTTCTTATAGGACATAAGACACTATTATACTCTTTTCCTTAGGATCCTTACTATACGATAGAAAATTTTTAATTAAAAATTAATATTATTTTAAAAACAAAAAAAAAAAGCATTTAATCTGTCTTACTTCTGCTACTTCTTACTTCTACAGAAAAATTTAAAAAGTATGGGAAAAATATGTAAAAAAAACATTATCGAATTTTTCGTATAAGGTTATTGTATACATTATAAATAATGTGCTTTGAAGAGATAATAATATCACCTAGTCAATAATACTAAGACATGGTATTTATTGTGTTATCACAGTTATTTTTATATATACATTTTTTTTTTGCTGCTAAGATACAGCCATAGCTTATATTTCAAACGATAGATAATAGGCTTTGTTAATATTTATCTACTATTATCTTGGAAGAATATGCCCAAAAAAAAAACAATATTAATTTCTAAATTCGTCTTATCAAACTATAAATTTATTTATATTTTAAAACGTATCTCTGTATGATAGTGAGATGCTCATTTCAAGGGGTTTATAAATAATACATAATATATACTATATATACATAAAGACCGTGAATTATGATATACACTATTGCTGATTAGATATAGTTAAGTAAAATCAGTGAGCAACTAAAAATCAAAGGCACAAATTATGAATGAATGAAGGGTATAGATGAACGTTAAATCTTATGATTAGAAACTGAATAACTGAATGATATATATAGATAACATATAAAATGTTTCTTACAGTAAGGATTAGAAAATCAGATATTGTATATTATAAAACCGTGTGCTCAGAAATATGAAATGAACGTCTGGTGAACTTTGATATATATATCAATTGTGCTTAACTGAAAGTGAAAGAAACTTAATATTTCAATTGTAGAATATTCGCAAAATGTCTATTATAATACTTTTATCAAAATAAGATCATTTTAACCAAGTTTAAAATAGAGTTATTAAATAAGAGAGAGCTAAGACCTCTAAGAAATCTGCTGTGTTGTACATATATATTCGTCTCCATTTTAAAAGTCTTTAAAAATTGCAAAAATCTACATCAAATAAGATTGTAATCTTCGAAACAGAAACAGGTTGTTATTTTTTCCATTAAAATCGATTATCAAATAGTTTATATACTGCAATCACAGTATTCTTTATCTGAAGTAGAGATTCTTTGTAATATGTTATAGATAAAGTTACTAACAACTGCTTTAATATTGTGCTATATTTATACAACTTAATAGATTTTTTTTGAATAACATAAGTAATTTTCCTTTTTCGATAACCCCATGCTAATACATATAATTGTAATATACCTATATGTTTCTTTAACTTGATTATTAAATTTAATTTAAAATAACATTGAAATAATATTTAATGTAATATTAGATTTAATAAAAACAAAAAAACTTGTTTGTTATTTTAATCAGGTAACTTGACAGTATTTGATAGAAAACCAACTGAGAGTCATATTACAATCTAAATAGTTTGTAACGATTAAATTGGTGAATATTTGACCTTTTGATTTTAATTCAATATTAAAAATATTAAAATACAAATGATTGCATCTGTAAAATTATTTTTTCATTATTTTAGTGCTGTTAACTGGCATTTTAATTACAATCTAAAGTATTAGTAACTATTAAATTGATGAATATTTAATTTTAATTTTATTTTTACCTTAAAAATATTAATATACAAATGATAGTATCTGTAAAATTATTTTTCCATTATTTTACTGCTGTTAACTGGCACAAAATTAATTTATTTTTTTTTAATTTTTTTTTTTAAATATTTTGATATATTTTGTATTTTCCCTCTTTCTTAATACTGGTGTATATGCAATGTTATTTTAATATTAGAAATGTTAAAATACAAATTCTAATATCTATAAAATTATGTTTCCATGTTTTTTAGTGCTGTTACCTGTTTCTTAATACTGTTTTTTAATACTATGGTTGTCGCTTCGGTGTAACATAATGTGCACCTTAACTTAAATTATTTTAATTAAAATTTCAATAAATGATTTACTTTATTTAAACTTAAAACTTATTTCATAATGTGATTTAACTTCAAACTTCAAACCCCTATATCTCGAGAAGTAATCAATATCGATATATAATGTAGCAGAAAAATTTGCACAAATTAAGTAAGTCTACTTGAAATCATTGTTAAGTGGGCTTGACTGGGAAATTGAAATCCCGCCATTTTTTTTATCCGATGCATATACTTAAGAACTTAATTTCCTGTAGCCTGAACCTAATGGCACAAATAATTATAGAAAAATTCTTACTTGAACAAAATTTCTAAATACGCAATTAATGAAGTGCATTTTATCGGTAAAAATTTTAAGTTCAAATTCCTTAAATAGCAAAGTAAATTTTTTTTACAGTCGTAATTATAATTACTTTATAGCTTTTTTTATGTTTTTATTTTTATTTTGCCTTAAGCACTTTGTGTGTGTAATTTACTGCCACGTAAAAGTACAATTACTTGAAATTAAGCACACAATATTTGCTCATTACACAATTCTATTTACAATCTTGATTTCCTGAGTGCGCGTTTTTTGTATCTCCAAAATATCGGAAAATGTTCATGTTCATGTTCGTGCTCATTTTATATTCAATACCGGATTGCGTTGGTCAAGTGAGTATAACCTTGACATTCGGTTTATTTCATTTATTAGTTTGTTTTATTTTTTTTTCATACACGCTTTTGAAACACAATCTTTTGAAATGCACTGCATTCGGTCGGCAACGGCTTATATTGGATTTACACGAGAGTTTGGTTTGTAATTTCAGCTGTCAACTGTTGTTGTTGCTTTCAATGCAAAATGAAAATTTTTGACAGCTACAATTACAAACAAAACTCTCGTGTGAATCCAGTATTAACCTCACCTTATGTGTAACGGACTAACTTACATTCATAGCAATAAAAAGAGTTACATACATATATTTCATATACGTATATAAACCATGTTAGCTGTCTATGGTTTATTTCAAAATATCTAGCTTCGTCTTCTTCGTCAATCTTCTTCTTCATCTACTTTCTTCTTCTTCTTCATTTATCTTCTGCACTAGTTTATGTTGGACTTGTCTTTGCTAGTAGTCTCAGCAGCGCCTTATTAAATCCAACAATGCCTACTATTTTTTGCCAATTTTTTTCCATCGTTTTTATATACATTTTTTTTTGTGTACATACAGAAACATAGGCTTATATATATAATATACCAAAAAGCCGGTTTGCAAATTTAGCCTATGATTATTAACACTTTTATATGTTCAGTTTTGTGGGAAGTGTAAAATGTGCTTTGTATTACAATTACTTCTATTGATTGATGGATTTTACGTTCGCAATGACGAGAAAACAGAATTAGTATTATTATTTATTATATGAGAAGTCTCATTAAATCTGGAAAAAGCTCTTTAGTACAATAACTTTTCGTAGTACTTATTCATTTTATTGTTCAATTCAATTTTTAGCAAATCATGCTTGAGAAAGGTTAAATTCCAAGAATCTTTTTTATGGTAAGGCTGGCTATTTTTGGAATTAAGTGGAAACTATTATACGTTTATTATACCCTTCATACATTTATTTATTTTTATGTCGTAGTAAAGGTCTCTCCTAATAAATATACTACGGTTTTTATAAAAGTGACATCGTTGACATATGTATATCATCAATATATGTTTGATCAATTCGGTAGTATAAGATGATATAGAGCTAAACCTGTACAGTGCTCTCCTATTAAGTGAATTAAGGTATTGTCAGTAAAAATGGAAGTAAAAATAGATATGTTCTCTTTAAAAATCAATCTAAAGAAATATTGCAGAAATAGGTAAAATTATAATCTAACGATGTTAGTATATTGCGAGAAATGCGAAAAATCTTTCCAGCCAAGGAAAGACTTCAATTTTTACTAGGTTACTAAGGCTTTTGATTACTTCCAATCTCTTCATTTCAATATCAACCTCTTCCTATCTCGATTCAACCACAATAATTATTGAAATTATTCCAACATATTATTATTATTCTACTCTCAGTAATTTTTAAAGGTAGAAGTTAAAATTAATTTTTTATTAAACAGTTTTAGCTCCTAATAGATAATACCATTCGAATAAAATAAAAACACACTTTAAAAATTATTCTGTTGGCGATCCCGACTTTAAAGCAATGTGTGAGTTATGCAGACGTCAGGTTATTTTT